TTCGAAGTGAACAAGGAACAATTTAATTTTGGGAAAACTTTTGGTTAAACTGGAACATTTCTTAGCAGGGAGCATTTCGATAAACGAGGAATCGGAGAAAAGAAAAAAAAAAAATTTTCTTAAAGGATTAAAAATGATCCTAAAAGAAAAAAAAAAGGAAAAAGAAAAGAAATGTATGTGACAATGTATGTGAGGAGAAGCTTAAGGAGATGCCTAATAAAAAATTGGCTTCATGTGAATCAATATGAGGAAGAAGGCTTTATTGCATTTTTAAACTTGTATTTGAGTATTAGTATCCTTACTAATAAAGTTCTCATGAAGTTCTTTTTCATATGGATATTCTAAGTGACTTTAATATGACAAATCAAAAATCTTAGACTTGACTACTAGATGTTCTTATACTTTTAGCTTTGACTTAAGTTGTTAAAAATTTTTCTTAAGTTGTGCTATTATATTTAGTAGACCAAATTATAGAAATTTAGAAGTTAAACTCTCTACCATTAGTCATAACTTTTGTGTAGTAAATGTGTTACGTTAACAAAAGTAACATTTAAGTTTATGGGATTTTGATACGCCTAAAAAAGGTTCAATTTTCATATGCTTTTAATATCTATATTTAGTGATTTTCAATGATATTGCACTTTAAAAGAAGGTATTTTGTATATTTTTGGTTTCAGGAACAAGAAATGGAGTCTTGGAGAAGAAAAGCAAAAATGATGCAATTTGGAGCAAAAACGAGCAAGAAAAAAAATTGTCTTGACACATTTCAATGTCTTTCTATGCTTAATAATTTTACACTTCTCATGTATTTTTGAATGAAATTAAACTTTAAATGAAGGTTTTTTATGCTTATTTTGTAGGTTTATCTGTTAGGAATACAATATAACTGAAACGGGGTGAAACAGAGCTAAAACGGAGCCAAATGAAGCAAAATGGTGGAGTTGTGCAGGGTGGCCGCCGACGGCGCCAGAACTTGTGCCGATAGCGCCAAAGTACAGAAAGTAACGTAAAAATGATGCCGACGACACCCAAAACGCAGTCGACAGCGCCCATGACAATTTGGACGCGATGCTGGGCGAATTTCTAAGAGATTCAATGTATTTGAATGCTTTTTGGAAGGTTGCTTGAGAGGCATCTCTTAGGAAATTCATCCCTACACTATAATAAAGTAGTTTTATGTCAAAAAAGGAGGTGTGTGTGAGTAGAAAAATGTAGAGAATGTTTAAAGATAATAAAATAGAACTAGAAATGTAGATTTCTACCATTTTAGAGAGATTGGTGAGGGGATTTTGAGAGAATTTGTAAGAGAATGTTCTAGCATTGCATGAATCAGTGGGAGACTTTGTGGGAGAGACTTTCATCTTTCTTTCATGGAAAAAAAGCTAAGTATTGTGTTCTTCATTATCTTATGATTTTGTAAACACTTAGCTAGTGAATTTGCTTTGATTTAATGAAGTTTTCATTGTGTTTCTTTGTGCTTTATGATGTGTTTTTCTTACTCTTTCTTCTCTTTTGAAAATAGTGGCATGAGAAGATTATGCCGTTATTTTCCTTTTACTTTTCTTTTACAATGAGTAGGAGTTATGTTTAGGATATTGGGATGCATGCTTGAAGAAATTTTAATTATTAATGTGATGATTTTTACTTCACTTCATTTACATTACAATAAGAGTCCGTTGTACTGTTA